GGGAAACTGATCAAAGTCCAACCAAAGCCGAGGAAGAAAACACTGCTAACAACTTCATTCAGGAGGCTGGGCGAGGTCAACTGTCTGCCTTCAGCCCAGCCCCGCCTAGAAGCCCCAGAGCAGCAGGGTGACAGGGCCCCCTCAGATCCTCCCATGCGCTGGCAGGCCCACCCAGCCACCTAGCAGGAAAGCGTCTTCCCGAAGGGCCTCCTGTAGGCTGCCAACTCCGCTGAGGCTTTGGACTGGGGGCAGAGCCCCAAACAGCATGCCCCTCACCCTCTGCCTGGTGTTGAGGTCGCAGACACAGGTCCCCAGGTCACTCCTGAGAATGTATTAATTTGCCTCTGAGTCCCCTCCAGGCCCCTCCTGGTTCTGACCAGTGGCGGGGGGTGGGGAGAAAAGACACTGGTCCTTGCCCTCAGCTGACTCACCCCTTGGCCAGCAGGTAGAGAAACAGCTCTAGCTCGGGTGGGCGACCAAGCCGCAGGCAACTAGGCCGGCCCCAGCAGGTGGGCAGCCAAGAACACTGCAAGCTATGGCCCCTCTCTCCACCCACCCATCCATCCACCCACCCATCCATCCATCCATCCATCCATCCATCCATCCATCCACCCATCCGGTACAGGTCCGGGAGTTTCCAAGAGGTAGGAAAGCAGCACCATTCCGGCCTGGCTGTGAAACTCCAACACCGGTCTTCTCATGAGCAGTGAGAGTTCCTTTAGTGTACCAGAAACAGAGAGGGAGGGAAGCAAACACTTGTGCCTGCAGAATGCTGGGTGACAGGAGAGGACACGCACCACTGAGAACCTTGCATCAGCCAGGCACCTTCTTCCCAACAGGCTTGGTTCACATCTATTACCAGCCCATTTCACAGATGAGGAAACTGAGGCCCAGGGAGGTGCCGTGAGCTGGTCGAGGGTACACATGAGAGATTGCCAGGGCCAGCCTCAGTGCCAGGCCACACTCCGGGGCGGGGGGGCCCTCTTCTCCACACTCTGGGTAGACTCCCCGCTGAAGCCCCTGCACTGAACAAGTCCCCTCCCTTCTCTAAGCCTCAGGGTTCCTGTGTGTGACCAGACTGCTTTCACGGTCTGAATCCTAGAGGTGCTCACCCACAAGCCGGTGAGTCACTCCGGGCCCCCCCTACCCCGTGAAAGGCTCCCGGAGGGCACATCGCAGCTTCACTGAGTGAGGCTTACTGCTATCCCCCTCTACAGATAAGGCTCAGAGGGCCACCCAGTCATAAAGTGGCAGCTCTGCCCCAGGGTGGAGCCACTCCATCATAAAAGGCGAACAAGCACTTTGGCAGTCGGGGGCGGGGGGAAGGAGGTTGAGAGTAATGCAACTGAGGGCGGGTGGTGGGGGGGATACTTCCTGTCCCCCTCCTCTTAGCTCCTTCCACCCCGGCCAAGCCAGATGCCCCTCATCATCTACCCATGTCCCAGCCTTGCTCTAGCACTCCTCATGGGGATCGGATCCTGTGCTTAGGAAATGAACCCCACAGAGCTGCCTGGGCCCGGCCTCACCTCCTGCGCCCTCTCTGGTTAAGCAAACTGGGTAACACTTCATCACACCTGGGCTCCCAGCCAAGTCTTTCAAATTCCAGAAGATGGACGCTGCCTCTGAGAAGCCCTCTCTGGTCTCTCCCTCCCATGCACCTGCAGCCTTCAATGCAGTCACTCCCTAGGCCTGAGCAGGTGTCTGTGCTGTTGGTCAGTGCCCCCCGCTGGTCTAAACTTTCCAGTAGGAAGGGCTGGGCCTCCATCCTCTCTACCTCTGTCCCAAGACTGCATGTATCCCTAGGGTGCTCGCAGAACATGCTAGAAGGGAAGGAGGAAGGAACTAAAATTCATCTTAAGGGTCAGCCCACTGCCCTCACCCCCAGCTCCCATTGGATCCTGCCCAGCAGGTGGGGCCGGTGGTCTCGGGCCCCAAGGGACGGTGGGCAAGAACTGGGGTCTGAGGTCTCCCGAGGGCAAGCCAGCAAGTGAGCACAGCACCATGCTCGGGGCTCCCTGTCCCCACCCGGCTCTTGGGCTCTTAGGGCTCCAGGGCTTGAGGGACCCGCAGACATCATCTTGTCCAGGGAGCCCCAACACTTTGGGCTTTCGCAAACCAATACAGTGTTTAACAGAGGGACTGTGAATGTGCAGAGTTACTACTGTTTTATTTTGTCACGTACAGAGTTATTAAAAAACCCCAAGACCATCAACTACCACTAGAACAAAGGAAAGTATAATTTGATACTAATGAAAGAGGACCTAAATCAGAAATGTAAAAGTTAACACAATTAGATTATAAGAAATTTTCTTATCTCTTTCATTGTGGACCAGTGAAAACGTACAAGAGACTGGCCTGTGAGAACCACTAATTGAATCCAATGTCCTTGTGCCCCAAGGACGGCACCCCAGGGGTCCAGGGGGACTCACCGAAGCACACACAGCAGCAGATAGCAGAACTGGGACCAGAACTTGGGACCCTAGAACTCTAATCCAATGCTTGTCACATGAGCCAAAGGGTTTCAGAGTAAGACGGACCTAAGGCTCTCACCAGTGACTGGATGTGTGGCCACGGACCAGCCCCTGAGTGTCCTAAGTCTCAGTCTCCCCACTTGTAAAATGGACTTATTCATAATCCAGCACCTCATTTATATAGTCCATCTTTGGATTTTCTGGAAACTCCAGCAGCAGATCAGTTGGGTGCAGAAAGAAGTAGCTGTCTGTTTACCGGCCCCAGTGCTGGCCCTAACCCTTCAAAGGCCAGGCAGGGCTCCTTAGGGGTGTCGGGGGTCATGACCCAGGGTCACCACCATGGGAGGGTACAACAGGATAGTGGATGGCAGCGTCCCTCACTGTACTGATGGGAAGGTTTAGCTTCTAGCCTGGAACCTGAGGTTAAAGAGAGGTGCTCACCAGCATAGGAATAAGGAATGGAGCAAGGAATAGCTGAATGTCTAGAACAAAGTCAAGGGCCGCTGTGGCTCGGTTTACACACACACACACACACACACACACCCGTGTGGACTCGGGTCTCAGGCAGTGTGGCCGATACAAGCTGACCTGCTTGCTCCCTGCAAGTGAGAAGGCCGGCCCCCCAAACCTCTGCCCTAACCACGGTGGCAGAGCCCCACCCCGCTGCCATGCTCCTCGTCCTCAGCCCGGCTGCCGCTCAGGGTGCTAGGGGACAGTCTTTTGCAGAAGATCTTTTTCTTCTCGTGGTTCCAAGGCTGTGGTCCCGCCATCAACCTAATTAGGAACCAGCTCCTTAATTGCAAATAAATACCAGGGAGTCAGACCCAAGTGCACAACATCAAAGATGACCGCACTCTGACCGAAACTCTTGCTCACTACCCCCTGCTCGGGGCCTGGCCTAGTTCCCAGCCAGA